TATTGAAATAAGATTGACTGTGGTGGCCATTTGAGTTTAGTGAACTCATTTAAACAAAGCTATATTTATTCTAAGGGGCTCAAAGTGTACCAAGAAAATTTCCCCCACCCCATTAAACCACCACTAACAGACTGAATATTTGATGGATCCATGCTTTAGCGTTGCTTATGCCAAATTCGGACCCTATCCCTGAATGTTGCAGCAGAAATCAAGACTCACCAGACCAGGAAACGTTTTTCCAGCCTTCTGTGTTTTAGTGAGCCCGTGTGAATGGTAGCTTCAGTTTCCTGTTCTTAGACAGGAGTGGTGCATGTCTACATGCCTAAATTCACTCTGTCATATGATTGGCTGATTAGATGTTTGCGTTAACGAGCAATGAGTACCTAATAAAGTGGCCGGTGAATGTTTGTATTATCCTAAAAAGTTTTAAGCAGTTTTGGACCACAGCAAAGTAGTTTTTCTTAATATGCTGCCACTTTTCCCTCTAAATGGTAACAAAATGGCTGTTATGTAATAACATCAACTGAATAGTTGCCCTTCCTAATAGGGGGGCCAATTTTGCTTTACTCTGATTATATAGGCTGCTAATAATGTCATTTTGTCTGGGAAAGCTTGCACTTCTAGTGTCCAGGTCAGTAATCATTAAGCTCACTAGCAGTAGATTCAGGACTGGCACCTTCCTGCATCTCAGAGAGGATGAACTATTCTGAAGGGAACAGTGTGTATCAGTGTGTATGTATGTAGACACACACTAAATTCAGGCACAGTCACTGTCAGCTGCCTCTAAATTAGGCTATTCCGTTCCACTGCCCAATTGCCCAACAGCTAAGAAAAAATGAGAAAGAGAAAGAGGAGTTTCTTGGTGAAAAAGGGACACATGCATGAAAATGAAACAGTCGTTTTATAAGCTTATAAAAGGCATACAAATCTTTCTTAGCAGGGTTGATAGTTTATACTATTTAAATTATGTCTGGTCCACTTTACAGCTTACTTTGACCAAGAAGTCATCTTTGTTGGCTACAAAGAAAACAATATATTTTGAATGACACAAACCTCCTATGCTTTGGCAAATCCAGTGACTAATTCTTCCTCTAAGTGTTCATTTCTGCAGTCTAGTATGCAAACACACATTTATCATGTCTAAAGTCCACACCACAGAAGATATATCAAGGTTATAAGATGCACATGATTGCCTTTTAACTTCAATGAAAACATGCTATCAGGTGATTCAGAAAAGAGTGATGTCTCCCTCATTTGATGCCTCAAACTCCTGTTGGCATTTAATTAAATGACTATATTCAATCCAAAGTATCTGTGGGGAGAGTCTATTTTAGACACAGTCCACTGAGTGAGTTTCTGTCTCTCTGCCTGGCTTTGCTCATGACAGGTGAGCTAATTACCCTTCACGGGGTTATTTGGCTACATCAACGTTTTTAATTCAAGCTATTCAGCTGCAGCTGTTCAGAAAAATAACTTGAAATCACAATTGAAATCAGTCCATATCAATGAGCTTTGAGGCCATACATGCAAGAGGGAATCGCACTGCTGGTAAATGCCATACTTTATTCTTACTTATTCTCCTTTGACAGCTATTTAAAAATTGGCCAAAAGTTGTATTCTTACAAAATACAAAAATATAAATCAAAATTGTTGTATTTTTTTATATTATAGTATGTTTTTACCAATAACTTGTCTCTGGTAAGGGCCTGAGGCTGTGCATGTTCTTATGGATAGCTTTCTCAGGTATTATAGACGTGCTTGGTCAAAAGAAGTAGTCTTAAAAATTGCATTGAATCTTCACAAATTAATTAGTTTGTTATTGTTTGCCAAGCTTATTTGAATTTTCAAACACCTTAACTGTGCATTTCCATGTTATGATTTTGAACATGCAGTTCCATTATATGACTCTTGACATCTTCCAATCTGCTAACTCAGCAAAGAGGTGTGCCCCAGGGCTCAACTTTGGGACCACTCCTTTTTTCTATTTACGTTAATACCTTACCATCAATTTTTAATAACTGTTGTGCTCAACTTTATGCCGATGACACTGTCTTATATACATCTAAACATGATCTTCCACAAATTCAATGTCTTCAGTATGATTTCAAAATTCTACAGGATTGGCTTTTTTATAACAAATTATTGCTCAACAAAACTAAAACATATTTGATGATTTTTGGTACCAGACAAAAACTCAAATCTGAAACCAATTATTGTATAATAACTTGTTCTGACTGTACTCCTCTGCCTCAAGTTGATAAATTTAAATATCTTGGTGTATGGCTAGATTCTGAGCTTTCTTTCAAAATTCATATTGGTCATATTTTACGTAAAGTCAATTATGGAATTAATGTTTTATATCGATCTCGTAACTGCTTCACTTATAGTGTGCGCAAGAAACTCGCTTCTCAACTTATACTTCCGATTTTTGACTATTGTGATGTTGTCTATCAAAACTGTAAAATCAGACCTTTCCCGTCTTAAAATAGCCTATAACAGACTGTGCAGATTTGTCCTTGGATGCCCATTTCTCACGCATCATTGCACAATGTATTCTGCCCTTAATTGGCCATCTTTAAATATAAGAAGACAAATCCAGGTTTCAACTAATATTTAAATGTATCCATTTCAATTACCCTTCTTATTTATAACAGTATTTTGTTCTTATTACCTCAAATTATCCTTTGAGGCCCTCTGTTCAGGTTTATTTCTCTGTCCCCCGAGCCAAGAAGACAGTTGGCAAAAGAGCTTTTATGTTTAAAGCCACTTTAGATTGGAATAACTTACCTTCCGATATTAGATCCATCACTTCATTTGGGATGTTTAAGTATACTTTGTCTTCTTACTTTGTGATTGACTGCTCTTGTAATATATGATGCTGACACAATGTGAATTTTTATTTTTATTTATTTATTTTTTCTTTCATATTTAAATTAATTGTGATCCAATTACCTATACCTACACTGTAAAAAAATTGCTGTAGTTATGCAGCTGTTTGCCAGTAACTTACTGTAGATTTAAATTGATGTATATTTACTGGCAACAGTTTGTTCAAAGTTAAATGAACATTAAACATTAACAAGTCTTTGTCTTTACAGAATAAAATTATAAAATAACAATCTAATGCAAAGCATTCTGGGAACCAGAAATCTTCATCAACCTTTTTCTGTTATTTTCCTTCAGATTTTGGTTCCCAGAATGCTTTGCATGAGGCTGTTATTTTAGTTTTATTCTGTAAAGATAAAGACTTGTTAATGTTTAATGTTCATTTAACTTTGAACAAACTGTTGCCAGTAAATAACATCAATTTAAAACTACAGTAAGTTACTGGCAAGCAGCTGCAAGTAATACTGTAATTTCTACAGATTTTTTTTTACAGTGTATATATACTATATACATTCAACTCTAAATGTATTTCTACCAAATTGATCTAGTGGTTGTAAAGTTCTGTATATTTCGGTTAATATTATTGGGGTTTTTTTTGTTCTTTGTGTGGATTTGTGTCTGTGGTTCTGTATGTATTTGTTTGTCAAATATGTATAATTGTACTTTTGTTTATTGTATTATTGTTCTCTTGTGATGGCTGTGATGTATTTTAGGACCCCCTTGAAAACGAGATGATGCATCTCAAGGGGTTTATCCTAATAAATAAATTTACATACATCTTACCCACAGCTGATGTATCTGGATTTGAAAAGACATACGAGGTCCCGATGAGTGTGCTTGTGTTTCTGACTCAGTAACCCTCAGTAGATGAAGCAGAGCACTGCTAATTCAGTTTAGAGGATGAAGCTATAGCCTTAATCTAATCATTGCATAAAACATTTCTGCCGTATTTACATGAATCACTGACCTTAGCAAAGATGCTACACTTTGCCTCAGCTAACAACAATCTTTATGTCAACAAGTAGCAGGAACTGAATTCTAAAGGGTTTGTAATAACAATGACATGAAAGTTCCCCATACCTTTAAGAGACAAGCAGGAAATGTTTTTCCCCTCACTTTGAAAGAACAGCCTCAAGGTAGCCATAGTTCATCCGCCTGCTGTGCTGAACTAATAAAATGCATGAAAGTGACTCTAAAATGTTACCTGGGAGATGTGTTCAGCTGCAGTGAAACGCAGGTCATGCTCTCTAAAGGACAAGAATGGACAAACTGACAGAATCACATGCCCTGTTTTCACATAACTGAAATACTATAATATACTAGCTATAAAACACAGCCACATGCTGCATATCTCATTAATCACCCTTGTTCCCTATGTCCTCAAACAGGATGGTGCAAGCATGAATTTGTACTGGAAAGGGGCAAGGTCCAGTAAACATCACTGGTAAAACATCACTGGTATTTCATCAACTGTAATACATAAGAACTAACATTGTTCTATGTTTCGTTTACTGACAAAAAGTGCAGTGCTATATGCCACTAACCTCCAATTTATTTTGGCTTGAGAGACTATTCAGTAACACTTTACTTAAAGCCTTTATGTATAATGCATTGTAAATGTTATTATAAAATGAATGTTATATATACATTTTAGGATGGATGTTTCATAGCACTGTACAAATGGGACAGTCCTAGAAATTGCCAACCTCCCCAGTAGCACCTCAATGCAGTACATGAGATCCACGGGGAGGAGTCGGATCAAGATCCAAGGGGTGGAGATGGGTAGGATTAGGGGTGGGTTTAGGGATTAGGGGTGTGTTTAGGGATCAGGGGGCGGAGATGGGTAGGATTAGGGGTGGGTTTAGGGATTAGAGGTGTGTTTAGGGATCAGGGGGCGGAGATGGGTAGGTTTAGGTATATGTAAGGCAGGAGGAGTTGGATCTGGATCCGACTCCTCCCCGTGGATTTCATGTTCTGCACTGGACAGTGAACTGACTAGGATGCCGATTAAGACACACCAAGTGCTGGTCGTATTAACAGAGCAATTTATGCTAGCTAATCATCACTAAACAGAGGTATATCGCACATGCTGGAACGCCTACTTACCAAGCTGCTTATTTTAAACAAGTCTTTATTAAAGGATGCTGGTCTGTTGATAAAGAATGAATAAAGGTCAACTCTTGAAAACAAAAACCCCACTGAAAATACAAAATACATTATGGCATGATTAAACATTGGCTGTTGAAGAGGTCTTGAGGAACAACTCAACCAGACCTGCTTTACTTCTTGGCAAAAAACAAAATAAGTAACAACCTTCTAAAAACACAAATTGATATTTCATGTTTAACTTTGCCTGAGACTGAATTCATTGCAATACACGTATTTCACCAACATCCAGAGAAAATCCACTTAAAACCTAATAAATTAACACAAGGCACTTGACACTGACAGTCTCGATATTGTGAAAGAGCACAGATTCATATGATATGAGACAGTGGCTATATTGTGTATATAGGGAACAGATAAACAGAAGAAGTCATCATTTGACAATGGTGCTCAATCCTGTTCCTAAAGTTCGACCTACCAGCAAGGGGTAGTAAAAGGCAAAACCAAAGTAAAAGGCAACTGAGCACTCAATAAATGATATCCCAAAAATTGCATAGAAAATATATATGGTGATGTATATACATCATGTAGAACTAAAGCAATTGGTCACCTATGATCGGACTAGTTTGATCCCCTGCCCCGTGTCCAGTATGCTGGGAGGGAACCAAGAGAGTTTCAGTCTCCTGACGCAGCGCAAACACACACTACACAGCCACAGGAGGTTGAGTCCGCAGCACCAGTTGGCTACAGCCACAAGTGGGTACGTGGTCTTGGGGAAGTGTGTTTTCCAGTGCTTGGCCACATCGCTCCCGGTGGGCAGGTGGAGGGCGTAGTCACTCCAGGGTTTGGACACGCCATATATTGCCGAGATGACCCGACCCCTCTCTGACCACTGCACGCCACTGTCAGGATCGCAGTTATATTTCACCCACTCAGAGGTGAAGTCTCCCAGACGGGGGGCTTCTTGGGCTTCGGCATCCTGGACAGGGCTCATCTTGGCTCCCTGTACCGCAACATACATCCCTTCCACCTTCTGCACCGCCTTCACCCACGGCGCTGAATTCTCAGTGTCCAGGACCAGGATGAGGCGGGAGGAGAGGCCACTGTTCCTTTCTCTCCACATATCAAGGATCTGCTGCAGACGCAAGTAATCGCCACCTGCAGGCAAGAAAGCATGTCAATCAGTCGCAAGAAGGTCTCAAGTGCATCTTAAAGTCTTGTCCTGTGCAGAATAAGCTGGACCAAACCTTTTGCTATTTAAAGGTCTGCCAACTCAAGACAAGTTCAAACAACACAAATATCCAATAAAGTAAAATGACACCAGTTTGCATTCACTGAAGAAATTTTCATTCACAAATACATAAAGTGTTGACACAGACGTGACAGGCTGTTGCCGCAGGGGAAACGGAGAGAGACGGTGCAAGCAACACGGTAAAGGTATAAAAAGAGAGTTTGCAATGCTGCGGCGGGGAAGACTGTGAATAACACTCGGCAACTACCTCGTTCAGAAACCGAATGAGGATTCCTGGCTGCCTGATCAAACATTATGACAGAGGCTGTGACATCCCATATCGCTCGTGAGGATTAATACCTCACCGAGTTACAGGACGCACACACAGGCAGGAAGATAGATAAAGCATGGTGGAGCGGTGGAGCCAAGATATACATTTACAGTTCAGAGAGCTTTCAGAGCGATAAATTGCTAAATTCTAGTTAAAATAAAAGCATTCGTTTCTTGATCTCTTTTACAAAGACCTGAAACAGCTATACTGATTTTACTGAAATAACTCCCGATTGGTGCATGATATAAAGAAATGAATTCTTCATCAATACTTCGACATGCTACAATTCATAACCTCAACTCTCAGTTCATTTAGATCAATTCCGCCCTATCAATTGCTATCCAGCTCTTACCTGCCAAAGTCCAGTCTCCGCTGGGAAGCGTGTGGCCGCTGTAGTATAGGATGTAAGTGTCGTGCCGCGGGCCTTCGGCGGTGCAGAGCTCCAGAAAGGAGCGCAGTTTGCCCTGCAGGGTGTCCAGGCTTAGACTGGTGGTGTAATCACATCCGAAGGTCTGGATGAGGTGGTGGGAGAAGAGTCGCTGCACAGCATTCAGAGTAGCTGTGGAGTGCAATTCCTGGACTTGCCCTGGAGGCAACAGCAATGGCTGGCCATCCGCACTGCAAAGAAGTCAAGAAAAAAAGAGAGAGGATAAAGCGATGGATGAAACGGGGAAGAGAGTTCTGAATTGCTAACTGGGTCGACTTGACCTTCTGAGTGTACACTAACCCAGGTACAAAAAACGAAGAGACATAAGCACAATGGAGAGAAAATGCAAAAAGGCCTTGAAAATAAGCAGTGCAAAGCAGTGTAAGATGGAGAAGAGGGTTCAAAGAAAAGGAGAAAGGCCTTAGTAAGGATGACATTAATCTGCTGGAAAATGCGAGCAAGTAATTCAACATCACATTGCAGGGTCAAACTAACTCCTTCTGCCTTTCTAAAAGAGCACGACAAGACTTCACGACAAGACTTCCTGCTGTACATATCACCCAGAACAGCACTCGCTAATAACAAGTCGACAATTAACAATTAAAATGATTATAACCCCCTGTAGCCTTGCTTCACAAAGATTGTGATTATAAAACCAAGACCAAGCATTTGTGGTGGCAGTGTTTCCCAGTATTTCCCATAGGTAGACATCCTTGCTGAAGACTGAAATGGCAAGTCTAAGGCACAGTGACCCATGAAAACTACCTAGGCAGGTGCTGAGCTATTCAAGTGGAAATGACCGCTTCTCTGAGCTTGCTTGTCAGGACTCTATCCTTCTCTGTCTCTCTCAATCTTTTAGCTTTCATGTTTGCGTTTTCTTCTCTTTACTACTTTAGATCTTGTTTTTTTATGCTCAACCCATCCCTGGCTCAGTGCCCCTCATTCCTAAACACAACACCAATTTAAGCACCAAAAATAATAACATGACTAAAGGCAAACATTTTGCTGAAATATCTTTCCACTTGAATTCCACACAAAGTTTATTAGCTACAAGGCTTTTATTAGAACAGATAAGCGAGATTTTCATTAAAAAGGACTGATTAATTGTTCGCGGTTTTTATAAACTATTAAAATGCTTTCTGGGTGAACTATCTGAATATTTGGATGATGGCCAGAGCTCATTCCCTATAAATGTGAGAAGAAACAGAACCACGGCATCCTGAGAATTTCTCTCTCCCTCGTCATTGTAAAAACATGATCTGTACCCATCAGATGGAAGATTACACCTAGCTACATTCCCCTCATGTGCCTGCTCCACGCATAGCCTTTTCACCAAGAGTGCTGGAATACTGAGCGTGAAGAGGCTGTGGAGCTGCATCCTAATCGACATGATAATCAGCGACCTGACTGACGGCCTGCCCTGGACGCCACCCTTACCCTCTCTCAGTATGCATGGCACAGGCTTCTCCCAGCGGAACCAGCAACAGAACAAGTTTATTAAAGGCTATGCCTTTATTTAATGCCAGCATGTGTTTATAGTGATCCAATCCAGGGTGGTTTCTACACATCTCTCTATTTTCTGGACACTTAGCAAAGATGCATGTTCAAGGTGATAAAGAGTAGGGCAGCAGACTATTTCCCTTGATGTTGTAATTATGAATATTAATCATCTTTCTGATTTATCTACACACCCAAAGCTATTTTTGTAATGACTTTATCATCATTGTTGTGACATCATGACCAAAAACTCAGTGCGACCGGCCTGATTCAAATATCAAAACAGCAATGTGAACTGTGCTGGTAAACAAAGGTTAGCCAATCATAATTTAGGTAATTTACATATACTATAAAAGTCATAAATGTACCGTAGCAAAAACTGTATAATTTTGAGGGTCATAGAAAGGATGAAAAGAGTTCACGTAAAACTGTTTTCGTGCAAGAAACATTGACAAATATCAGGATAAAAAATAGGTGGGTACAGACATAGATATGTATAGGTAGTGCCACATTAGGTGGGTACAGACATAGATATGTATAGGTAGATGCCACATTAGGTGGGTACAGACATAGATATGTATAGGTAGATGCCACATTAGGTGGGTACAGACATAGATATGTATAGGTAGATGCCACATTAGGTGGTTACAGACATAGATATGTATAGGTAGATGCCACATTAGGTGGTTACAGACATAGATATGTATAGGTAGATGCCACATTCCATCCCTCCAGACACGTCGCCCGCCTGCCATCTTGCAATCTTGTATCTTTAACTCAATATTACATGTTTTTACTATGGTACTTTTAATGTTTTTACTTTTACTATGGTAACTTTTTAATGTCGTGTCAGCTAACGCCTTCATCTTCTTGTATTTTGTTTAGCAAAAGCATCTGCTGAAGTCTATTTCATATATAGATATTCATAGATGCGTCTAATTACGGTTTCAACTTGCTTTTGAATGTTCACGGACCGCTCCAATATGGCGGACGGCCATTATGTATAGCGGCCCATTGAAAGGGCCACTAATGAGGCATCTATATCTATGGGTACATATAATCAGCTTATAATATGGATTGAAACAAAAAGAAGAAACAATACGTAATTAATTAATGTATGTAATAAATTCACAGGCATAAATAATAGCACTTCTCTGAATTGATTTCATTTCTCTGAATTGCCGCTAATATTGTTCCTGTGTGATATACTGCACATATTTCTCACTTGTATGTCACTTTGCATAAAAGATTCTGTTAAATGAATAAATGCAAATAAAAAATATGATTCCTCAGAAAACCAGTTCTTCAGGTATTAATGTCAGTTATATAAACCATCAATAAGCTGCTTTCTGGAAGGTTATGGATCTCGGTCAATGCACAGGTGAACAACATGCAAGTTAGAATATGCCTTTGTATGCCATATATCCATTGAATGATTTTACCTGCTGTAGTAAGTGGGAATTACCACCGCATACCCAACGCAGGTGCCTCCCAAGCAGCTGCCCAGTTCATGGAAGAGTCCATGAGCCAGAGACTCCAGTGGCAGTACCACTAAAAACACACTCATGAAGAGTCCAGAAGTGACCTGCGGAGATGAACCCTCAGTGATCAACAGTTATGAAGTGAATTCAAAGGGAAGGACAGTTGTACATGCAAACAAACACAGTCTAACTTCAGTCTAAGTCTTCAGTGAGTATATGCTAGTATTCAGTTCCAGACACAGCCGTTGTTCTCAGACCTGTTCCTTTGAATTAAAGGATAATTCCGGTATTTAGCACTTTGAGTCTATTTTCTAGTTTGTTTTGGATGAAATTTTGACGATGGGTTCTGTCTCGACTTTTTGACTCTTCTAGAACCGCCTCTGACCGCTTCAGAGTGGATGTCTATGGGCATGCTCAAACATGTCCTTAAAACAACCCTTAACGTTCGTTTTCAAAACTGTGCAACTCACCGAGTGGTTAGTGGTGTTGTAGTTGATGTTCCAAAACAAGTAGCGTAGCGAAATACAGTTTCTGTAGTGTTTTTATTTGGCATTTTGTAAAATCGCATGATTTCTGTTGGAGGACTCAGTGCTCGTTGATATTACTGCGCTACCGGATACCGAAAGGGGTCTGTTTACATTTGTTTGTAGTCTTTTCGCTCGGTTCTCCGTCTCTCAGAAGGCTAGCGTGTGAGCATAGACATACACTAGACGTCACCTTGGGGTTCTAAGCATGCGTCAAAACTGCCGCCATCTTGGAACAGGGGTCTTGTCATAGGAAGTAGCTAGGTAACGCTGCTATCTCTGCCTTTACTTCTAATTAATTGATGGTGGCGGGCTTTTGTGATGTGTATGATGTTCACATGAATGAAATCTGAACTAGGAAGAATGTTAAAAAAAAAAAAAAAAATCTGGAATCAATGATAAATAGTACATGTCTGACCGTAGGAACAAACCAAAAAAAACGAGAAAATTGCATTCATGATGATTTATGGTGATTTTATTTCCGTTAGACCTTTGTCTAGATTGACGCTGATGCATTAAAGTGGAGGGGCTCCCCTGTTCCAAGATGGCGGCTCTATTGACGCATTTGTTCTAATGAACTGCCGTAGCCAAGGCGACATCTAGTGTATATATCTATGGCGTGTGAGCTGAGCAACTGCGGCAAAGTGGTTTTCGCCATCAAGTGGCCGGGAGTGTGCTAACGCTTCAGACTCAAATATCGAGCGGAAGTTTATACGCGGTTGTGAGGTATCTGAAAAAATAGTTCCACTATAGCAAATAACACGGAATGAAATCATACGTTGCGCTGATATATTTGTTTTTAATCATCAACGAACACCACCAACCACTCAGTGAGTTGCACAGTTTTGAAAACGAACGTTAAGGGTTGTTTTAAGGACATGTTTGTGCATGCCCATAGACAGCCATTCTCAAGCGGTCAGAGGCGGTGTCCACCACTCTAGTTTATCCAAAACAAACTAGAAAATAGACTAAAAGTGCTAAATACCAGAATTATCCTTTAAGTGTACAATGGCCTGAATGTCATCTGATGATCTGACTCACCAGCATAATGCTTTTGTTGGTAAAAATCACATTCATTAAAGAAATGAAACACTGCATTTGCTTCACATGCTGGATAATAAAGTGCTTCTAATGACTCATTGCAGAATTCATATCTTAACATTAAACCTCAAGTGGATTACTATAAAGTTTAGATTAGGCACTTGTGCCCAAGGACTGATAGCTGGTTTATCGAGTTGTCCCCATTTAACATTACATATGAGACTATTTTTCTAAATATCTTCTTTTGTGTTCCACAGGTTTGGAACAAAGTGAGGCTGAGTAAACGATGCCATAATTTTTCATTTTGGGATGAAAGAATAGTAATAGTATCAAAATGCAGAATGATTCATTGGAGTTGGATGTTAATGTCAAGTATAAACAGAATTCTTGATATCTAGATAGATGAGATTGATTCTATTAATCAACATGCTTTACCTGCCATGAAACAGCCCCTAGTATGACAGTGGACATCAGGCAGAAGAGCACCAGCCGTTCGGAGATGAGGCAGAAATGACGCATGCCCCTGGAGGCCATGATCCTGTCCAAATTGAGCGTTTGTGAGCGCTGGGTCGCCCACAACTTCTGACACTCGCTCAGCTTGGTGTGGAAGCACCATAGTGTTACAAGGAACACCATGTGGCACAGGATCCACAAGAGGCCAAAGACGCAGAAGCCAGGGATGACCAGGTACCAGGCTTTCATGTTACCCAGCTTCAGGGCACAGAGCACAAAGAACGCCAGCTCAACGAATGCCAGCGGAAACAGAGAAAATATCCTCCACAGGCGGCCAGCCGAGAGAAACTGCTTGCAGCGTTCTGTCGCCGACAAGCTGCTGAAGTAGACGTCTAGAAGGGGCTCGCATATAAGCCGTCCCAGGAAGCAGCTGAGCACGAATGGGTTTGTTTGGATCTCCAAGGACTGAAAGAAGGTAATGGCGGTGATTACAGCAAAGGAGGCAAGATTAGGGAGAGCCAAGGGCGACTTCATGCGAAGGTCCACAATAAGGGCCATTAAAGCAAAAGTCAGAGCAATCATGGCTAGTGATTTGTGGAAAACCAAGCTGATGCTTGCTACACCAAATCCCAGGAGCTCTAGGAGCTCAGGTGAGGTCAGAACGACTGGTTTATACTTAGCACTACCGCACAGACGTTCTGTTAGGGCCCAGAGCGACCGAACAGATACGCTAGAGAGCAACAGGTAGTTTGTGACCTGTTCCTTTATGTCTTTCTCCAGAGAGGGGAAGTTCAAGAAGCACAGGAGACCCTGCAAGAAGCCGAACCACAGGTGGAAGAGACATAAACTGGCCGACTCCATTGAAAAGTAGTAGTAGAGGATACAAGCTATAGCTGAAACGAACAAACCCAGGATGAAAATGACCAGAATCATGGATTCTGAGGTCTGCTCCCATCGTACGTACATTCCCAAGCACACAGCGACCAGCAGGTTGAAGCTGGAGAGATACCCCAGGCAGCGGAGAGAGGACCACATGTCCACACCCTTGTCCGATTCCTCTTGGCCTGACATTTTCGAGTATGATCGCAGAGGATTAGGCCTCACTCCTTCAACACTAGGAAAGATAATGTTGAGGCATTCCACTGAAATCAATAATAGGGGGAAAAAAGAGTTACTAAAGTCAGTGATGCAATTCTAATGTAATCAAAAACACATCCATATAATCGACACGTTTCGACCATGCATGTCATCTCAAAATTACATTATCATCTTAAAAAGGCATCCCTGATAAATTAAGAAAAAATAAGATACTTCTCATTTTGAATCTAATCAAACAATGGTATGGTGTATATATATATATATCTCAAGTCCAATTTCATACAGAATATAGTTATTATACGGTATACTGTATGTAAACAGAACATTCTATAAATCCTAAACCAGAGAAATATTCACTGTGAATGGAGTAAAAAGGTGTGACAACTAGCCCCGTTTCATCTTAATACTTGTATACATAGGCTACACAAAAAGAGATGTACAGTAGAGATGAGATGTTTTGCACACACGATGGTCATTCGATTTCCTGATAACGATGTACGTATACATAACAGACATAAGATGACAGATCCTGTTTAATATATTACGAGTGCCAAGGTTCAAGATTAATAGATGTCAGACGTGAAAATGCCACATAATCAGCCTAGACCAGACCAGACACTCTTAACTTTAACACTGTAACGTTAAATACTTTGAAAGCATTAAAATACAGCGATTACATTTTAAAAAGATAAGTATTTACGACTGGCTTTTGTAATTCAGTTAATCGTTGTTCGAAAGTAAAACATATAAGCAGAATTATTCTTACATTTCTTTATAGCAAAGAGTTTTTAGTTTCCCGATAGCCATGGTGCTTCCGGACTCCAAACTACGGCGGCTCAGAAGGGTCAAAGGCAAAGTGTAAAATCTGCCAAGAAATTCTTTTCTTTCAGGTTCTGTCACATACTGTTGATGTAGTCGTTTTTTTTATTTTTTTTTATCGGAGATATACAGTTATGACGAAACATTTAAAAGGCTTTCTGTTTATAATAAAGAAAAAAATATCCTGTGCTATGATGTGTTGCATATTTTCATTTTTCAATGTGCAAAAATAAAGCTATACAAACCTACAGTCTATTTACTAAGCAAATATAATTTTATAAATATAAATTATAATTACATAACGTTGTGTTTGTATCTGTTGGCTGAGTTGTGAAGAAATACAGACTACCCGAGAGAAGAAAAAAAAGGTAAAACCCCTACGGTGGCCGAGACAGCTCAACACGCTGCAACTGAAGCAAACACATGCAAATAGAAAAAAACGCGTGCAAATAGAAAAAAACATCTTGCATCAGTTTCACAACATATGTGTGCTCCAAATGCAGAAACGCGCTTTGTTTTTTTTATTTGCATGTGTTTTTTTCTATTTGCACACCTTTTTTTCTATTTGCACACGTTTTTTTTTCTATTTGCATGCGTTTTTTTCTATTTGTATGTGTGTTCTTCTGTTGCAGCGTGTTGAGCTCTCTCGGCCACCGTATTAAACAACTATTCACTATTCACGAGCAAACGACTCTTGTGACTCTTGTTCTGAAAATCTGTGATATCAATAAAATATTTGTTCGTTTTATGTAATGATTCTTAAAAATGAACAGATTCTTGAAGTCATTCAAAGCACTCACATATTCACCCTGTTTGAATTAATGTACTAGGTAACCTACATGGTAAAAGTAAAGGTACCATACTTTTACCATGTAGGTTACTTAGTTCATTAAACTTAAATCCCTATAATTAATGACGAGTTAAAAATACACTTTTGCAAACAGTTTTTTTTAATGCTATTGTATTATTAAATCAAATTTAATACAAAAAATCATAGGCTGTTATTCCTTAAACAGCTTGAAATTAGAAATAGTTTTTGTAATGTTGATTTAAAAAAATATTCACCATTTATTTGAATACATGTTTGCTGTTTCTTATTATTCTAACCCTGTGTAGTTAAACAATATCATAATATTTTAATAAACAGTTTGGTGGATGTGTCTAAATCTACAGCTGCATCCGTTGCTCATTAAACCATTGGCAGCAATAGAGATGAACTTGTTTCCATGACTGCCTGCACATGTGGGATTGTAGTCTGAGACATGTATAAATGTGTGCGACAAGATGGATGAAGAAAGGATGAAACAGAGAGAAAAAAAAACGTGCACGGTCTCAGAGTGCATTAAGGGGTCATACCCTTTTATAAATACATTCAATTAGTCCACATTCACCTTTTTTTGAATGAAATATTGAGGTCATTCTTCATAAAATAGGCCATGTAATTCTGAAGGAACAAGATAAGTGCGACAAAGGGAATGTGGGCTTTTTTTAATTAGCACTGACATTTGAACGTATAATTGAGAGATCTGAACCGTTCAACGTGTTTGAATGATTCCTCAGTCACTCAAACACACAAATAAGCAGGCACATATTAATCTTTGTAGCTAATGGTCTAAAAGATGTTAAACATCTTAAAGATGTTGAATTAATGCAGGAGTCCATGAATGTGCTGCTTTCTGGACTTTCTGTGGGCTACATGACTCCATCCACCTCTTCCTCCTCCGCATAGGAAAATAAGAGAGAGAAAAACCTATGAATTATGCACACCTGTATACCTCCGTGCCACCTGGCAACCTGCATGTAGCATCGCATTAAAAAGTGGCATATAAAATATAAATACCATTCTTCCGTTCAACACCATGACATGCAATAAGAGCAGCAAGCATTTTCAGTCAGGCTTGGACTTGATGTGAATGTTGAGTAAATTTTTTTCCAGACAGGACAATTGCACTAATTAATTTTGTTTCTTGCTCGGCCATGCAGACATGTCAGTCAAATACTGCCACACTGAGAGAAAAAAGAGTTTTTTTTTTTTTCAGGCATTTGGTGTAGTGCCTAAACATCTGAGCTGGCCTGTTTGGTGCCCCAAAGAGGGTTCTTGACTTGCTTAACCAGCTTCACCAGATCATTTTGCTAGTGTAAAGTTGAAAACTGTTTGTTTTGGTTTCATTGTACCAACACAATTTTTGTACTTTCTATTATTTATTTTAAAAAAAATACATAAAAATGGAATTTACACATAACCTTATTATATGTTTTATGGACATTCTTACATCATTGACCTAAATATGACTTTGTTTCCAGATGTGCTGTTGCACTCCGACTCCTGGAAGTTGCATAAAGATAGACAATGCATGGATTGAGACATGTTATTTTGGTCAGTGCCTGCCATTTTGTGTGCAATATGCTTAGACGGTCGGTCAGTGAATGGACTGTGTGGATGTTTTGTCGGTTTACCGTCTGAAACTAGACCATAGCCAACATAATTTACGTTTCCTGGTATTGGGGTCAGATTCACCAAACTCCATCCTACCATTCTCCTTCCTTCTCATGTGCACGACCACCTTTATCTGACAAGCACAGCATCAGCAGCACAAGCGATTTGTTCACAACAAATCTCATTCCCACAGAAATCAATATGATGTACTGAGTCTCATAAAGAGGCTGTTTGGAAAGGCAGCCACATCACAGCCTAAATCAAGAAGCATGTCAGGCTTCAAATGAAATTGGGGAAAGAGACAGATGGGGATAAAGACAGGGATGGGGAATAAAGAGTCAAATATTAGTGATGTATTTAAATGTATCATATGGCATAGTGGCGTGTTGTACTAAGGCAAAGGATGCTGATTAATGCCTATTGAAAGCCAAAGATACATCTCACAATGCCCCAAAATTCGTCCATCTCAATAGAACAAAGAGAGTATTTCATCTCAACAATGTCTTGTCAGTGTCTGAGGATAAACGTTGCAGGTGAAAGTTTTGTTTTCCCCGTCTTTATCAGGAATTGTGTTGATGGCATGGCAGTTTTGGCAATGTATGAAAGCGCCATATGTCTTCGATAAATGATTCAAGTGCTTCAGTTAGCATGTTACGGTGTGTCATTTGAGACAGTGTGCCTCATTCTGGTGTATTACATTTGAGCATTTCATTTAGCATGAATTAATCATGTCACCCGGCAAATTTTCCCTGACAGAACCGAAAAGGAAACTCCACTTGAAGTAATGAACAAAATGCCATTTCTGGTGCAGCCTACATGAGCTAAATATACACTTGGCTTGTCTTTGGCTCCTTTACATTTTGCACATCGTGTTCTCTCAATAAAAGAGAGAAAGACAATCTTGCAACGGTTGATCTTAAACATTAAGACGTTTCCTTTCATGATGGTGATCTCAAATATCACCTTCATGTATAGCTAAAATGGCTTTTTAATATTCTGACCTGTTCAGTGCTGCTGAGCTGCAGAAATGACGCCAGGATCCATTAATTGAGGAGACTGCGAGGAAATTGCAATTCAACATTAATTTGTTTGTTGAAGCTAAAGCTACACGACGGGACTGTGGGCTGACCATAATACGGCCATCACGGTCAATCGAGAAAATTATTAACATACTAACATAAGGAGGCATTAAGTCACCATATCCATGATCAAATAAATGAAATATTGATGAGATCTTCTGGTGAGAATATATTACAGTCATACAATAAAGTCATCTGCAGGATGGGATGAAATGTCCCGTACGGGGACGTTTATGTGAACTGACTGGTGATCTTCCGCTTGATTAAGATTCAGAGGTTACATGCATGCATCTCTCTGTCTGAGCCATTACGTTCACCAATCAAAGATGGAAAAGTAAATGAAATCGATCCCTTGGGATGAATCCTGAGAGACAGTTGTTCCTCTTGGCTCTAAATGGGAATCGTCAGATCAGTTAAGCTGAGTGAGCAGTTTGGCGTGTGATTTTCCAGCCCGGGCGCTCGACTGTGCATTGGACAGATGGAGTGTAAGAGGGTGGCCGGGTCACAGATGCCCCTCGATGTCCTGTCAATGACTGTGACAAAGGTTTCAGGGTCAACCGATCCTCTCAATCAGATAGTCTTCTGTTGCTCTACAGACTAGAGATACAGTAAAGATAAAATCCTGCATAATTTCTTCTTGAGTTAAAGTGCCCTATTACGCTAGTCTCCTCCTTAGTCTCCTACAATATGTTTACATGCATCTAGTGTCCAAAAAACAATCATTTGAATATTATATAAATTGCAGCATCACCTTTTTTCTCACAGTGTCAGGAATGGTTCAATGGTACTCTGCTCTGATTGGTCAAATGGCCCCATCTGATGTGATTGGTCTAATTTGTTATAAACCTACGTTCGTACAAGAAGATTTACTGACAAGACGTTTCAGGCAGTTCAGAATCGGATCTTTTTTTGGGGAGACAATAACTCCATTTATCGTCCACTTCGATCTTTGAAACCTTGCAGACATTTTACATTCACAAACAGCTATTTTACATACATGAAGAGTAATATCCGAAAAAGCATAATAGGGTCACTTTAAACTTTGCCTATTTTCAACTACCTTTGGATTGTTACTATAGCCGCTTTCCGACCAAGTAGTTACAGGAACTTAGTTATAGGAACTGTCCACTTCTAAACAGTTCTAAGAACTACTCTCCCCCAAACTCGGTTTTGCTGTTTGCGTCCGCACTGGCCAAGTGGCCATAGGAACTGGTAGGAGGGGTAAGGGAGTGACACAAGCACGGCGGCGGCGGCGGCGGCGGCGCCACATACAACAACAACAAACCAGCATGGAGGAGGCTATCGGAATGTTCCTGTTCTGCCTTGCCGGGACCTTAATAACGAGTACGAACGGCGGCGTTTAAAGACTATGCTTGAGTTCTGTACAGAGAAACATAGAAGACGAAGGCTCCAGCGTAATATGATCTTAAGTGATATGATGGAAGACGATAGAAGAGCAGAGCGCAGGAGGCAAACAAAACGACGGGTAAGTTTGGCAAGCATAGCAGTTAGCTGGTTG